TTTCAAAAAAAGCCAATTCAAAAGCGATAACAATATATCAATACAAAAGTAACACTGGATTAGAAGTTATGTGCCGAGCTACTGTTTTAATACCTGTGTTTGACGGCCTGATGAGAAGATCTAATGGACTAATGTAGTACTCGGCTGTCAGTGGAGCTCCTGAGAGGAAGGAGACATTAGAGAACAGGTTAATATTTCACATTAAACATCTCTCTTGCGTACCCTCTTTGCCTGGCTGGACGTTCCCAATCCTGCCGTTCATGATGTCAACGTGAAGATCACTTTCTCTCAGAGACCTAGAGGAGACCGTGCTCACTGCATTATATGAGAACAGACTTTCATCTTGAGAAACATGTATGGTGTTAGTTTCCCACACCTTGGTAAATGGGATATTTTGAAGAGATCTGTTTCCAGGTGTCGAAGAGAGGCGTGGATGTTAATCTTGACATCACTGGCAGAGACACTCATAGTTACAGAAATATACCAGCAGAATAAATCATTACCTCACAATTAGTGCTGGGCAATGATTAATCGCGATTAATCGCATTAAAAATAAAAGTTTTTGTGTACATAATATGTGTGTGTGTGTGTGTGTGTGTACACTGTGTATATGTATTATATATATGTGAGCCTGGAGCACAAAAGCAGTGTTAAGTCGCTGGGGTATATTTGTAGCAATAGCCAACAATACATTGTATGGGTCAAAATTATCCATTTTTCTTTTATGCCAAAAATCATTAGGATATTAATGCTCCATGAAGATATTTTGTAAATGTCCTACTGTAAATATATCAAAACTTAATTTTTGATTAGTAATATGCATTGCTAAGAACGTCATATGGACAACTTTAAAGGCGATTTTCTCAGTATTTTGATTTTTTTGCACCCTCAGATTCCAGGTTTTCAAATAGTTGTATAATTTAAACCATTATTTATTCAGCTTTCAGATTATGTATAAATCTCAATTTAAAAAAATTGACCCTTATGACTGGTTTTGTGCTCTAGGGTCACATATATAAAGACACACACATATAGTATATAGAAAATATTTACATGTATACATTTACATTCATATAATTTATAATATATAATAAATATACACAGTACAAAAACTTTATTCTGGATGCAATGAATCGTGATTAATCATTGCCCAGCGCTACTCATAATCAGATACCAGAAGGCAATACCTGTCTCCTGGGATGATGTAAAAAGAGGCAAGATCATCCAACTTAGAGAGAACTCTTGAAAATTCTTCATCCTGCAGGAATGCGATAACCATTTTACTCCACCTCCAATATATTTCAATGCATTTTTCTCTTGAAATAAAGAACATTTTGATTCACCTCAACAACTGGAGGAGTGATGGGCTGGACTACAAACCAAACCAAACCATGTTAATGCATTTCACACTCTTTTGCACAATATTAGAAGCACGTCGTCTCACCACGGGCCACCCTCAGGTAACACACCGTCTCTGTGGGGCTCATATGTGACGCCAATCTACAAAAACCAGGAGTCTGTCAGCTTAAATGATAAGAGCCAGCTGCACAGAGGGTTTTAAGGAACAGCAATGAAATCTGAAACTCATCCAAGCTTTTAAAATATTGACAAAGTATTAAATTGTGAGGAACGCAGACAAGGATGTCTATGTCAATACACAGTCTGAAAAAATAATAAAATACAGGAACTTCAGATGAACGATCAATTCAGCACAGCTTTAAAGGTGTATTTTCCATCTCAGCGGGCACTGTGCAGAACTGCAAAAATAATCACTGTGTCCAAACAGGTTTTCCAGGGTAATCCCCAGTTTTCCATTGGTTCTACAGGAAAGTTCTGACTTAATCTCAAGGTACACAGCTTAAAGTTGCAATGTAACATAACGACAGATCTTTTCTTTTGTATTGTGAAGTACATCAGTGTTTGTATGTATGTTTTTTAACACCATGCCAGCATCTGTGGCAATGTTTGGGTGAGACAAATGAAGAAAAAAAAAACATTAAAAAAAAAACACTTTAAAATGATACTTGGTTTAACCTTGTTACAAATTGTACAAACAAATGTAGGACGAAGACTCAACTCAATCCATTAGTTGTTGGATATGATTAAAACTTACAAGCTCAAAAAAACAAGCTCATCACAAAAAGATGAACAACATGCATTTAGAAAACAGATGAATTTCCATTTCATGACGACGTTAAGCAATATTAACCCTGCTGATTATCTAATATTAAAGCATAACACAATATTGGATGTTGCGATCTAAGTGCAATATCTGTGTGTAGGAAAAGTTCAAACCCTCTTTGCTTGGCAATCATCTCTAGTCTGGACACCACTGCAGTCAAGAAAGACACTACAGACAAAACACAAACCACCAAGAAATAGAAGAGAAAAAGAAAAACACATTTTTTATTCACAGAAGTATGTTAGAGTTGAATTCAAGGACGTCCTCACCGCTGAGCGCCTCGTTGATCTTCTGAAGACATTGTGCGAATGGCTCACAGACTCCTTTTGTTTTTTTCAAGAAAAATACTCTTCACCTGCTTGTTTCACCACAGCAGCAATACTGAGAAATGTTGAAAAGCCCAGAAGAATGACGTTCTGAGACAAAAATATAACCCCAAGCATATCCTGCAGGGACTTTCCAACCATGATATGCACCTTACAGCTGCTCAGAGAAACTCAGATTTAATCATCTTTCTGGACAACGACCTGCTGTTTGCATATTATTCTGGCACTGATTTATGCAGTCCGCAACAGTCTCAAGCTAAACATCTGGAATAGATTTGGAAGGTTGTGTCAGATGACAAAAAAGTTGGTGAATTTTAATGTGTTTGAAAGACAAACGCCTTCCAAAGTAATACATGGCAAAATAACCGACTGAGTGATAATTCAAATAAAAATGAATGTGTTCATCAGTAGATGATGCCATGTTGAAACACTTCTTAAACCTGAAATGATTTTTGTGAATCCAGTGGTCTGCTGTGTATCCATCTGACTAATGACTGATCTCTGTGAATGTCCACAAAAGCGGTAGAAAGAAATGAATAAATTATTGCTATGGTGTAATGTAATCATGTAATCCATAAAAAGGTAACTGTATTCTGCTCACGAGTATTTTAAAATGTAATTGAATCTAATTACAAGTACTTAATTTTGGGAATCTGATTACGTAATTCAGATTACATGTAATCAGTTACTACCCAGCTCTGCAGACATGACACAGGAGTGAATAAATTACTTTATTTTCATTTTTGGATATTTCGTGAAGGCAATTTTCTTACCATGCATCTCCGCACCAGTTGAACGGTGCCATTCCAAGATTTATCAGCATATTTGGACTTAAGGTCAGGCAGTAAAGTCTTGGTCTTCATACTTACAGGACCTATAGGTGACACACCACCTGTAAACATTTGCATTTTGTTTTTGGATAATTATTGCATCCACCTAATTTTTAACTTAAGAGCGGGCATTAAATGTGCACGGCTTCCAGTGTCACTGGCTACCTGTTATTTTACCTGTACAAAAACATCCCGTTATGCTGCCTGATATTGCAATCTGGTATTTCTTGGTAGCATATTATTTTAATTTATTATCATAATCACAAACACTGGTTTGTAGCCCAAATTGTTTAACCGTTTACTGCACATTGTTGTTCTAGTTACCCAGAGCGGCTAATGAATCGGAAGTCTCGCACATTCACAGGAAATAGATTACTTCCGCGTTGCAAAATATTAATGGTAGATACCTGCTAAGAATAAAAAACAACATATCTTAAACCAGCCTAAGCTGCTTGTCTGGCCTTTCAGCCTGTTTTGAGGCACTTGACCATCTTAGCCAGCTAAACATTTACATTTAGTCATTTAGCAGATGCTTACTTACAAATGAGGACAATGGACGCAATCAGAATCAACAAAAGAGCAATAATAAGTGCTATGACAGTTAGCTTAACGCAGTAGTACATGTAGCATGGTTTTTTTTTTGTTTTGTTAATTATATAATAGATTTAGCAAATAGAATAGAAAAAGAATAAAGCTAGTGTTAGAGGTATTTTTTTATATATATAGAAAATAAGCAGTTAGAAAACAAATATCGAGTGCAAGTCTTAAAGGGTCGTTTTTTTTAAATAAAAAAACAAAAACAAATAGATAAAGTAGACCTAGAATAGAGAGTGCTAGAGTTAGGGGGTCAAATAAAGAAACTAGACCAGTTTAAATCATCTATGACCAGCAAAGCTGGTTTGAGATATTTTTGTCTTCAGGAATACGAGATTTCGCTTTAACTTTACCAGGTTCGCTCTCGGACTTAATTTTAGCCACTGGTTAATTACTTTCAGACTGGCGCGCAAGAGATTTGTTTCAACACATATCTTCTTCTTTAAATTTTATTGGCGGTTGGCAAACCAACTGAAAGGTGCATTTACCTGGAGTGTGGGCAGGGTTTCAACACATATAACTATGAGATACATACAGGTGCATCTCAAATTAGAATGTCGTGGAAAAGTTCATTTATTTCAGTAATTCAACTCAAATTGTGAAACTCGTGTATTAAATAAATTCAATGCACACAGACTGAAGTAATTTAAGTCTTTGGTTCTTTTAATTGTGATGATTTTGGCTCACATTTAACAAAAACTTAAATCTTTTTAAAACAAAAAATCTCAACAAATTAGAATACTTCATAAGACCAATAAAAAAATATTTTTAGTGAATTGTTGGCCTTCTGGAAAGTATGTTCATTTACTGTACATGTACTCAATACTTGGTAGGGGCTCCTTTTGCTTTAATTACTGCCTCAATTCGGTTTCCACGACATTCTAATTTATTGAGATGCACCTGTATATAAACACGAACGGCCAAACTAAAGACTCTCTAGTACTGAGCGAGTCACAGGCTACTAATTAATTTCCCGCGTGACTCTAATCAGCGTGCGCCACGTGAATCTGGAGGGGATCGCCTGCGCATGCGCAGACAGCCGCTTCCCTGCATGTGACCCGCCTGTCGGGATCATCATCCGCGACACACACCCAGCTCTGCCTGCTGCCACACCGGAGATCACGGAGACCGGACCGGCTGCAGTCGCGGTGAATACAGAGCACATTCGGTCCGGATCTGATGGCATTGCTCGGGATGTGGAGTCTGCAGTAACGGAGAGATCAGGGAAGAGGAATCTCCCCCTTCCCAGGAGTCCTTGTGTCTCTGGATTACCTTCAGCTGAGCGAGCACACACAAAGGTAAGGTCCAGCACTGCTGTCGAGGCATCGCTACGAATATTGTGGTTATAATATTAAATCCAGACCGGGTGCTAATAGATGAAAGCTAATGAACATATGTGTGTGTGTGTGTGTGTGTGTGTGTGTGTGTGTGTGTGTGTGTGTGTG